TCGGATCCATTCTGCTTGTTTTTGCAACATTGAGTTTCAACTTTTTCTTAGCTGCCAGCTTGCGTAGGAACAATTCGATTATTGATCGAGTTTAATTTGTGTATGTCTTGAAAGTGTTTTAGAGATATATTTGAATATTAATATGGTGCATTCTTTTGCTGATTTTAGGTTTTCAAAGGATAAAATGATGAGAAAAAAAATGGGTGGAAGTTTGAAAAGAAAGAACTGCAATCCTTCTACTCTTACTTCAATCCTTACTCTTTATAGAAATCATTTGAAAAGTGACTATAAATGGAGTATTCTAGAGTTAATCCTGTTACTGAAAATATGAAACAAAATTAATTAAATTTTATCATATGATTAATGGTATTATTACCTCAGAAGCTTTTGTTGTATCAGTTCGAGTACAATCAATTCTGTCTATTCTTGACCTCATTCAACCTTCCTCTCAAGTTTTGGAAGACTCAACAGATTACCAAAGCGAGCCTATAACGCTTGAATTCAGTAGTAGTAAATATTTTTTTTATAATACATTGCAGTTATACAGATTGAGGATTGTAGAATAAATTGAATATTTGAAATGACTCTTTAATCTAGTTTGCTATTTTTTTTGATTTTCATAATTGTATATTATTAAATAATGCATAAAATCATGGTTTAGATGGATATTTTGTAATCTATCGACTTTGTGTACTGATTTTTGATATAGAACTTATTTGCAAACATGATTTTTCGTTTACATTTTATTCCATGTGGAGAATATTTCATTAATTGAAACGTTAACGGGTTCATATACACTTCCATAATTGAATTGATAATTATAGGCTTCGTGAATTTTATGATTTGGCAATGTTGATTATTTCTATTGTTCCTATTGGTCAATCGAACAAGAAGCGGGAATAGGGTCGTGATGTCACCACCCTACCACATTCGATTTTTAATGATTAATTACGGGAAAACTACGGTACTCAATGAGATGAAACAAAGTGCACTGTTTTTCAATTTGAAATTTCTATCAAGTGAACTATGAACCAAAAATCATGAAACTTTGAAATGCCTTTCAGATTCTATCGTATTGTTCATGTAAGGTTAGGAAGCATATTTTGTATGTACATTATTTAAAAACATGTCCAGTGATTTTCGGGTTTCAAGTTCTGATTATGTTCATTGTTTCACTTTAGAGATTTCTGATTAGTTCATATTGAATTCTGCTCTTGACAAGGTGGAGATATAAGATTATTTCCAGGATTTTCTTACAGTTGAAAAACGAATGAGATTTTCATAGAGAAAGACGTCCTGAAGGATTTACGTTATTTTTTATTGTTATTTTGCGAAATTTTATTGTGGTATTTTTCTATAAGCATTTTTATAAATTGAGATTTGATGTTTAGTTTTTCTATTCAACCAGAGAAATTAAAAATTTTAGATTGGCTCTTCTGGAAACAAGGATGAAAACCTTGATAATATTTGTTTTTTGTCAAAGTCTTAGCGAAACTGGATAATACCATTCCTGAGAGCAGTACGACGATCCGTGCGTGTTATCGTGATGCCGAATTAACTCGTAATTTCTGTCAGTAGCGGCTCTTTAGCTCGTGTGACATAGGCGTAACACATCATGGCATAGAGTTTCAAAATAAACAACAAATTGAATTGAAGTAGTGAATACACTCCTAAATTTAGATGTCCAAATAGCGATGAAAAGGTTTATATTCAAACGGAATTCGGCTGCTACATGTCAAAACACAGTATGTGAAAATCTATAATTTGTTAAACAGGGGAGAAATGAGTAAATACTGTGATTTGATTGTGCTATACCTCCGGAAGCGGTGAATGTTAAAAAGTCCGCCTCTGGCATGGAACAGCTGAATTGATAAACAATGTGTCTCACATTTGATGAACCCACTCCCATGTTTCAGATATTGAAAATAGGATTCCGACCAACTTTGGATGATATCAAAAAGTGTAAACTTTCATGGCCGCAGATAACTGTATCAAAGCTATTTTTTGGGGCTGGGCGTGGCCAACATACCCGGAAAATGGATTTGACACATTTCTGGAAGTTTAATAGGTATGACGATGACGAAATACTAAAATAGGACCAATTTAGACTTTTGTTTTGTATTGGCGTACTGTTATACGAGGGAGAGGGTAATGGAGTAAGTTTTCTGCATGAATCATATTATGAAGTATTACATCAACAATTGAATTGATTTCACTGAAGTATTCAATGACCCTTATTATTTCGGCAGGGCAGGCTTGGTAATTATGGTACGAATTCGCAACTTAACAACTCAGATACAATTATGAATATGAATCTATTCTTGGGCCATTGATCTTCTGCAGCTTTGAAATTTAGAGTACTATCTCATATTATATAGCGCTAGACAACACTCTCGATCGCAATGTGTTTTAACAGTTGCATGACTCTCAGGCGTAGAAACACTTCATGTGTATGTTCCAGAAATAGAAACCAGGTCGACCTCGTCCTATGTTGAACGTTACTCATTATTCAATTAAATTTTCCCTATTGCAATTCATTGCCGATTTATGTTCCCAAAACTTTTATCGCAAATTATATTAGTTTTTTTTAATAGGAAATTTCTGGAAAGTTTTTGAGACAATTGTTTCCCGGCAGATACAACACGATATTTCATTTAATTATACAATTACCTATGAAGCGAATGGTTGGTTTTTTTTTATACAAGGCAATAAAGAAAGCAATACATGGTTTTATTGGATCAAAGTATTGAACCATTTGAGATTGTCTTTAATCTGTTGGTTCGAAACCAAAGTAAACTATAAACCACAAAAAATAATTAAGTTACGGACGTCACTTTGCAGAAATTATATCGTATTTACTGTCACCTATATGATTCATTAAAAAGAAAAAGATTCTGTGGGGTCTTTTTACTATTTGAGCAGCTTATATTCTTATCAAATTTTGATTGAACAAGGAGAGTATTCTTCCTCACAAATGGATTTGAGTGATATCAATGATCAAATATGTGAACACAATTGAATGTTCACAAAGTAAAATGAATTCCAGTCATAGGAATTGGATTCATGAAACAAATATGGTGAATCAAATAATTAGATTAACAAGATTAAAGTAACAAGATGGACATGTTTTGAGGTTGAATGATATTTGCCACTTAGCAGTAGAAAGCCAAAAATGTTCTACCATTTTCACAACTTTTTTTTGGTGATATAACATGTATAAATCAATTGTGGGATTTTATTTTATTTTCAATTCCTACATAAATTAATGTGCTCCATCAATACAAAATATTTCCCTTCATGTGGCACTTTTGCTTAAAGTTAAATAGAGTGTTATCCGCAAAGACATGCTGATACATTTTATGTATATTCACTAATAGAATGGCCCAACTCTAAAAAGAGTAAAAAATATATTTTCTTAGAAATACGTAATTTTTAGGTGTAGCACATATTTTTCTGGAACATTTTTCGAATTAAAAATGTAGGTATGCTATTTGGAATAGAGAAGTTGAAACCACCTTCTGATAAAGCTAGTAATGCACCTTGAACAAAATTATTTCATGTCGGAAGATTATCAAATTTTCAGAATTCTTAAATCAAATGATTTGTAAGCATTCCAAACGTTTCTCTTTCAATTTTATCAAACAAATTGCTGTCAACAACAGTTAAAAGGTCGATATTATTGACTCCATTCTTTGGTAAACCCACCAATAACATTGCTCGTTTTTTGAATGACTTGGTCGTTGCTCACCAGTCGAATAATAATTCAAGCAATAAAAACAAAACTTCACAGTGTTGGTTAGATCAGAAGTATATAAATTGACTTGTGGTTATTGTCCACAACTTCATATTGGCCGGACGTGGAGAACTTTTCTCAAAGAATAAAAGAACAAAGACGTAGTTTCTTGAATGTGAAAACTAAACCTACATTTGCGAACCATTTTCAGGCATAAAAACGTGGGTTCAACCACGACTATAGAGTATTAAATTTAAAAGAGAAAAGTTTGAAACTGATAGATTGAAACTTATGAAATTGATAGATTTATGAATTTTGAAAATTTACTGAATGATCAAATAGAAATTGGAAGTGGAAATTGTTAATCAATGATATGTCCATTTAATGAGTTAGTAAAATTTTTTGTCATGATGTAAAAGAAAAGTGAACCCCTAAACTCAGATGAAATTATTAACTATGAAAGTCATATGAAACAAATCGTTATCATATGAAAAACTAATTAGGTAGAATTCAGTCATTATGATATCGATTGAGGAAGCTATTGTTAACACGTGTTGCGGTTTTGTAAACTGTCCAGGGAAAATTTGACAATTGGAATATCAAAATAATCGATTTCAAAATTTAAACCTAGCAGTTCTCGTCGAGACCACATTTTGGCCTTCATCATTTCCCATGACAATAATTCAATAATTCATGACAATATTCAAACAATTTTCAGAAGTTTTTTCAATTCTAGACGCGTTTCGCTAACGCCGTAGCTTAATCGGTAGTACTACTACAGTACCAGTATTTCACCTATATTGAGTGGTCATACTTGATATCAATCAAATCATCTAAAGGAACAAATCGTTCAGGCCTCTCTATCCTTACCTACATAGAAGGTTTATGGACTGACACCTATCAGAAAACAACTACACCCCTGGCTAATAGCACGATACAACTGCCGGAATCGATTTTCAATAATTGGAACGAGCACACTTGCACACCGGTTTCGAGCTATTTGGCCAATCGTCAGTGCAAGGTGCTACATCAACACGAGGTCGTTGTTTTCTATGTCAATCCATAAACCTACCGTGAAGGAAAGGGAAGACTGGCCTTAACGAATTGTTCTTTTAGATGATTTGCTTCCACTGTAAAACAATGATTTTTGAAGAATTCTTTTACATTATGTACTTACATTTAGATATGAATAATGTAAAGACGCACTTGCAAATTTAACAAATTAAATTCGTTAAGCAATTGAAAGGGTTTAATTCAAATATCTTACCTCTTCTTTTTCTAACGAATCTCCTCTTTTGTTTTCCACGGGGGTCTGCGCTCCCGCAAGTTTTTCCCGTGGAAAACTCCACAATTTTCATCATGCAGCACAGCAAAACCACAAGCATGTCTGTCTGAATGTTTGTACTATGACATCCCGCCCATTTCCGAATGATCTCACTCCCGGGGAATTAAATGGAAATTATTTTTCTTTCTTGTCTGATACGCACACTTTATACACAAAATTTATAATTCATTAAGAGTTTATCCACTTCGAAGCTTCTTTTCTATATTGTTTTTGTTCGATGGAAGAATATAGTCACTTATCTACTTATCACTGACAATGCTTGAACTGTATTTCTGTTAAACAGGATATGATGCTATATTAATCAAATGTGGTTGCGGCAAGCACATATGCTTTGGATTTGGAGGGTTTTTACAACACATAATGTATTTATATTGAAATTAATCTCAGCAACGATGACAGAAATTTCACATTAAAGTCGCATAAACATCTAAAACAGGATTTGCAAAGTACTGAATGCAGTTTTCTGTTGATAATGACTGAAAATTGGATTTGAATTATGATGACAATCATAATGGTAATCAAAACAATTGTTGGGAAAATTCCTTCAGTTCATTTTCCCTACTTTCGAGTTTATTTTTACATAGTTTTCAAGTTCAATAAAATCTCTCCTGAAATTGAAAGCAGCAGACAGATTCGTCAAAGTAGGTAATATTTTTGCAATTACATCCCATGTTCAGAAAGATACGTTATTGTAAACAATATCATGACTCATTATTTCCCAAAACGGAATTCTTCAGTTTTTTCTCGGCCATTTGTTTCATTTTCAAAATTCTAAGGCACTTAATAAAGATTAATTTTATTTCATTTCAAGATTATTTGTTTACAAACTATTTTCGACGGCATGAACAAATAATTTTCTGGAAGAAAAACCCCAAAAGACCAGTTATGAAGTTAATTTCAAATTGTAGGTGTTGAAACGGTGACAAATTTGTTTTTTATTTGAATGATTTTGAAATTGGTACATTTTTCCATTATCCTTCGATCAATAATACTAATATATTATTATATTATTTACATAAAACAAGTTTCAGCAGTAGGATTTGAACTCGGATTATAGGTAGAATAAATGCATTATATACACATTACCGCTGAGTTACTCTGGCGATTGCCAATAGGATGCCTGATTGTGATTGAAACAAAAGGTTGTTGATTCAGGGATTCATTACCAACCCACAAACTGTTGAACAATAAATTTACTGTATTTCATCAGTTCGGAAACCATTGTCTAATATAATATAAATTGATTTGAAATCCCTGAAAAAAAATTAAAAAGATCAACCGAAAATAAAAATTTACAGAAATTGCGATTTTTATTTATTAGATTTATTATCAGAGTACATGTAAATCTCATCATTTTTTTAAATTTCTTAGGAAAGTGGCTGCCATTAATTTAGAATACACATGTATGACAGGATGACCTGCAGGGTGAACCAATCTTCAGATTTTTTCAATTATTTTATTTCTCTTTAACTCATGGGTACAAATTACAAATTGCACATTAAAAGAAGTATTGCCACTGAAATGCTTGATAGAATAAAATATTTATGGTAAATGGAAACTTGCAATCAGGTTTTTTTTTATATCAATATACAATATTGATATGTTTGTGTAAGTGTTCTTAGTAAAGATAAAAAAATATTTTTGGGAGTAAAAACGAAAAAGTTGCTGACCCGTGAAAGTTTAGATATTTTTTTTATCTTCATTGTGGGGGCGCCCCTCCTGTAAATACCCCGGGGCAATAGCCCCGCCTGCTCTCCCTTAAATCCGGTCCTGATCATAACTAATACCTGTGTAGTATTTCTCTAATAGAACACGACATCTATACTTTTCGAAAATATTTATTGCCATTCGTAGACAGCTGGGCTCATTCCTTCATCAAAGTACAGAAGTAATTATCTGACAAAGATCTGTTAACCACACATGGTTTTTCAGTTTTGTTTGGTGATGGTAAAACAGTGTGTGGACTAACGTCTCGGGGTGCTATAAATATGCTTTTTATTGTCTATTTTTGAAGACTGGAATATAGATATTTTTGTTTTCTTTATTACTTTGTAGTGAATAGTGTGCTTTGTTTACTCGTATTTTTCAGAGACCAGTGATGGCCTTAATGTATTAAAAAAATTATATTTACGGAATGAATCTTAAAATGTGTATTTGTTGTAAAGCGTTGTAATCGTAGAGTACACAGCGACCAAAATGTATACAAAAATTCGAGTGCATTATTGTTGAAATATACTACATACAAAAATTCCTTTTTTGTTCAACTGTCATTGAAAGTGACAATTTTAATGGTTGTCAAGAGTATTACATTATGATGTTTACAAAGTAGCGTGTTAAAAATATTTTTAATACTAGTGTTAAAAGTATTTTTAACACGATTTTTTTCGACCAAATAGCAATAAACAAAACATAATTATTCAATTTTCAAGGAAGTTTCATTATGAACAATAGATAAAGACACAATTGAATTCTGTTACAAATGAATTATATACATTAAACACCAGAACTTCAAATGTGACTTCAAATAAAACGTATGAGCTGTAAACATTACTGTTTGTTGGTAACCAGGTGATTCGACGTCACCTGACACGGCCACTTCACAGCAAATGCGATAACATGAAGAGTTAACTGACAAAAGATGTCAAAATTAGTTTTTATAGAAATAATGAATTTTTCTATTTTATTATGAAAAAAGGACAGTTGTACAAAAAACTTTGTATGATATTTGTGTTAAAAGTAAGTTTTATTTTGTTCGTGACATTGCTCAACTCGCTACGCTCGTTTCGCAAAGTTTTTCACTCACAAAATAAAACCTTACTTTCAACACTCATATCATAACTAGCTATTTGACGTTGTATAGTATTTCATTGTTTCTAACGCTTCAATTTCTTCATAAAACAGTCATCAGAATGTTATATGAATGATGGAAAATCACCCCTATTTGTTTTTATTAAGGATGCAATAAAAAATAATTAGTTATAAGTGTATAATGTTAAAAAATTCAACAATTCATAAAGCATTATGACAGTATGATGAATGAAATTTTTACATGATCTGATATTTGATATAAAAACGGTCAAACTATTTAGACGTGTAATTTTTTAATAGTACTTTATATAGTGCGAACGTAAATAGTCCCCAACTCCTTACTTTCGAACGGGACAAAATATCTGAATCGGACAAAATTTTTGTAAAAGGAATCACTTTTAATACTTTTTGATAATAAGCCAATAGTGTGTGTGACATCACTTGCCGCCGAAAGAGTGCTTTCAACATTTATTTTCAAAGGAAAGGGGGTTTTCAAAGGAAACGGTCATTTCGTATGAAAGGTACTTGAATTCTATATAACGACCCTCACTTTTTTCAATTTCGATAACCGGTTGCGGAGTTATTGATGTTTGAATTTGGGATTAGAAATTTGTTCGTTGGAAAAAGAAACAAATTACTACCATCTTTTGCTATAGAAAATAGTTAAACGGCATAAAACGATAGCGTTTTATTTTATCCTCATAATCATTCATCTTATACATAAAATGATAAGTGTTCAAACAATCTAATACTAACAATCGAAACGTCGTGAAGTGACTTGGCTTAATTTTTCTATTTTAAATTGTATTTCATTTCACTTTAATTCCTTTTCAGTTTTTTTTGCTTAATATAATTGTTATTTTCATTTCTATTAGTTTATTTGGGAATTTCAAATCATTTTATATAATATTAGACAATGAAAGTCCGAACTAATGAAATTCATCATGAAACATTGTCAATCACCTTGAAATAAACGTTTTTACAAACTGTTTAAATTTTTTGAACCTAAACACTTATACCTAATTATTTTTTTGCGTTCCAAGTAAAAATAAAAACACGTTATTTTTCATCATTCATATAATATTTTAATGACTGTTTCATAAAGAAATTGAAGCGTTAGAAACTTTGAAAGACTGTTGGATCTAATTCTAGCTAGCTAATTATATTATTATCCTGAATGAAGCTTGTAGTAAATTGGACTTTTCATTCAATTTCTTGTTATATAGCTAATGTACCAAAGAATTAAACAAATATCAGATGAAACATTAAAGCACAGATCATTAAGGCAACGATAAAATGCCATTGAAGTAAATTAACTAGCGGTAAATAATTGACTTTTGATTCCTTAGACATTATTGGAATTTTCGTAGGGTTATACGAAATTAAAATACAGTCGTTTTCAATCGCTGATAATATAGCTTTCTATACTGGAAAAAAATTAAATCTGTAGAGAAGTTTTTGAGTATACAGTGCATTCCCCCCCCCCTTTTATATTTTAAACGGGTTAACTCAAAAAATTGATATTTGGGTTAAGGAAATTAATGCATGAATACTTTATTTTGAAGTGAAATTGACAGATTGCGACAAGATGGCGGCTGGGCGCCATCTGGAAAAAAAATTAAATGGAAAGGGGGGTCTTGTGACACATCTTCTTGAAGCTCCTGACAAATGCTTCACAACTCTAGAATATAATGTCAAAATCTTCAACTATTACAAAATGGCGGAACTTTTAATATATAATTGCCTGAATACATTGACATTTAACTATATAATATGAGGTAATAAACTTGAGGTCAGTTCAGAAGATGCTCGAAATGGTTGCCTTGAACTTCTTGACATATGAACACCCCATCCGATATTTCATGCCAAACATTTTCGAACACAATAACGTCCAATATATCTACAAATATTTATTATTCTCTGCCGTATATCCTCTATTGAAGCAGGTTCAGTTTCGTACACCTTTTGCTTCAGATAGCCCCATAAACATCTATAACTAAATCGGACTTTGATGATACAGTAAAAAAATTAAAGCCGAAAAAATCTGCAGATGTAGATGTTATACCGCCGTAAATAGTGAAGGGTTGCCATGAATGGTTACGTCACCCACTACTCCACATATAATATCATAATCAACAATGCTAACTTTCCGACGCAATGGAAAACTTCAATTTGCACACCAGTTCATAAAACAGGAAACAAACGTGATATAAAAAATTACAGACCGATATCTATTATGTGTGCTCCTTCCAAACTATTCGAACAGATAATTCATACTAAATTGTATGGCTATGTAGAAGATGCCTTAGTTGAGCAATAGCACGGGTTTATGTCCAACAGATCTGTCAACACAAATCTGCTGTTATATACCAACGAAGCAAATAACTCCTTAGAAAATAAGGTTCAACAGGACACAATATTCATGGATTTTAGCAAGTCTTTCGACAGGGTGGACCATGGTGTTTTTGCTGCAAAAGTTATATCGATTTGGATTCTCCAACAATATCATGAATCTTTTTAGGAGCTATCTTCAGGATTGATATTTTGTGGTTAGACATGATGGAAATACCTCAGGCATATTCCATGCTTCTTCAGGGGTACCCCAAGGTTCAAATTTGGGGTTCTTTTTGTTATTCATTAATGACTTGCTAGATTATATCGAGCAATCAAAATGTCTGCTTTTTGCCGATGATGTGAAAATTTTCAAACAGGTGAGATCAGTCAGAGATTGCTCCGCCCTACAGAAAGATTTGAATAGTTTATTGGTCTGGAGTGTTCGATGTAAGTTAGATTTTAACCTAAAAAAATGCCGCATGAACAACGAATCGCTAAAAAGAGTGCATGAATGCAAAGACTTAGGAATAACCTATGCTTGTAAATTATAATTTAAGAAGCATATTGAACATATAAGAAATACCGCAAATCGAGCATAAGGATTCATTTTAAGACAGACTTCTCTTTTTGGTAACATAGATTCCATGAAAATACTCACGCTAGTGAGGTCTAAACTTGAATATGGTTCTGTGATTTGGAATGGAGAATACCAAACAACTTCACAGGAACTGTAAAAAAATACAGCACAAATTTCTAAGGTACCTATATTATAAGAAATACCGTAGTAAACCCGATTACAACAGCATTAGAACATCACAATTGAGAACTCAATTTGATATACCCTGCTTAGATTCTAGGCGAAAAATCTTTGCACTAATTTTTATATTTAAAACTAATAATAACAATATAAATTCCGCAGATTTATTGTCACTATTACCAATTAATGTACCTTCCAGACCTACGCGTACTATCCTTAAGTTTAAGACTCCCTATTATTACTCCCTATTACTTCCATATCCCCCCTCTTAATCATGCTCCGCCTGGCAAACGACATCAATTGCTTGCAAGATATTGATTGAAATATGTCTCTCACAAAATTTAGATCTTTAGTTCGTAGACATGTTGAGAATTTATCAGTTTAGCAATTAGTTTTTCTTTTATTTCTTATTTAATTTTTCTTGTTTGAGTTGTGATAAGTAGGTACCGCTCGTTGTTAGATAGTAATACATCCCCATATTATATTATTTTGTTTTATATAACATATCATTTCATGTGCTTGTATATTCATTCATAAAAAGGAAATTTTTTAGAAATATCGATATTAGTGTTTTTGTCTTCAGGAAATTATTAAATCTTCCGTCATTTTGTAGTAGGTGAAGATATTGACTTCATATTCTAGGTTTGTGAAGTATTCGTCAGGAGCTTCAAAATAATGTTTCACAGGACCCCCCTTTCTATTCAATTTTTTTCCCAGATGGCGCCCAGTCGCCATCTTGAAAATTTCATCTGTCAATTTCACTTCAAAATAAAGTATTCATATTAATTTCATTATCTCAAATTTCAATTTTTTGAGTTGACCCTTTCGAAAAATATAAGGAGGGGACATTAAAGAAATGCACTGTATCTATTACAAATTAATAAACGAAATTACAAGAAATAAAATCTTGTCAATATTAGTTTAGATAATGAAACGGTTTCTTTTTGCTTGGTCCTTCTCTATGTATGTAGTTCTTCTTCAATTTCAGTTGATATGAATGAGTTCAGTTTGAATACCTGCCAACCGATCCTGAATCAAGAATTTTAATCAAGGAATACTTTTTCAAACACCTACAAATTCTAAAATTTACATGACACCAACCTCCTGTTCTTTTCCAAAATTTGTACCAAGTATTTTAGACAAGTATTGGATAACTACTATGATCCAAATTTCGAAATTTAATACTAGGTACTGAAAATTGCAAAAAAGTAGGAATTCATAATTGATTTCACACTGACCCTTTGAACATTTTGTTTCACAGCTGTTGAAACTATTGAAGTTTTCCTTTTTTATATTTTTACTCGGGTTCTTTTTCAAGCCTTAATGAGCTGTAAAAATCATCAATCATAATATTACCACCACTTATCGGACATAATTTGTAATCAACGGTTTTGTTTCAGCGATAAACCAGCATCTGTGAATCATTCGAACAATTGAAGTCTATAAATAAATAAAGGGTCGTTAATTCAATTGGATAAATTAACTCAGTTGAGATAAAATGCAAGCTCATTGTGAAACATGTTTACCACGTTTTTTTTGGAGCAATATTTTCATCTCCCACGCCATAAAATGGCGAATATCCTTCTCCAAATCCAGAACAAATGAATTTCACACTGACACTTGATATTTAGGCGATAGTTTTCAACACTTTTTACCGTCAACGTTGTTTTATGTATCAATTATTAATTATTCACGAAATTATTATTCACACTGACTGTTGTCATTCGAAAAGCAACATGGCGGGCTTTTACTCTATGACTAAGAGCCTGAAACGCGCCTACTTGCGCTGAACTCTGAAAGTTTGTTCCGGACGCTAAGCTAAGACACCCGCTCCCTGAAACTAAGTCGGTTTCAGCGGTAAACGTAGGTCGTAGCGCCCTCCTTGGAGCTTTATAATTATAACGGAAGGTTTTTAATTCTTAAAATAATTATTCATACACGCATGTGTTTCTTCTTCCGAGCCGGGAGGTTTTTGATTTTGTTTTCATTTCGACCTGGCTATATGGATTATTTTCGGATTTCTAGCGGCAAAAAACAAAGAAATGTCGGACGGTGCTGCTGCGTTTTCAAAACGTTCGATTGCAGTTGAACTTCAGATGTTCTGCTTGAATTCGTATTTACGTTTGTTTTGAATTTAAAATACATCTTCAATTTTGTAAAATTAAATATTGAAACGGACAAGAATGAAAGTTATATTTGGATCAACCTGTTTAAAAATGAATGGTGATCAATTGATTAGGTACATGCTATCTTCATGTTCTCTGCGTTCCTCCAAAACAGAAAAAATTCAGGTCTTTGAAAAAACAGTCTCATTATTCAAATTAGAACCTGCTGCATTACGAATTCGTATTTGAAAAAAAATGTACTTAGGACCATCGTTTTGTGACACGAAAAAAAATTTAGAGCCGAGTAGGAAACGAGGGAACCATTGCAAATACAGAAAAAAAAGTTTTTTCTATTCTAAACATACAATCATTTTATAAGAAAATAAATATTTCAAAATTGATTTCGAAATACTAATCTCTCCCAACTACCTACACAGTAGGGTGTGGTAAACGTCTGTCGAAAAACAACTACTTTCCCGGCTAATACCACGTTGGATATTGAATTATATCCGACAGATATTTATGCAAGATTCCTCACAGAGGCTAGTCTCACAGATTTTTTCGTTCATCTAGCAGCACGACCATGCTGAAATTATTCAAGTGGATCACTTGCAGGTGATCTGCAAGATATTAATATTTACAAATTTATTTCGAAATATTTATTTCCTTATACAGATGTATCTCTCCTCCATAGTTTTCACTTTACAATCATTTTGCTAAAACGAAAAAATACCACGACTTATTTACTATCTTATTAACCGTTCATTGTGATTTAAATATTTGGTCGTTTCAAAAGTTTTGTCTGTTTTTATGAGTCTACTTCAAACTGTAATATATCAGTAAATTCAATCAAAATTTGAATTAGTTCAGTTCTGCCAACGTAACACAAGTCGATTCATTCCGGCAGCATAACGATTGGATGTTCGGCATTCTACGAAGTCGACGAAGGCCGTTTTTGCCTGGTTCTGATTGGCGAAGGTTATGCTGATGAGAAGGCAAAAAGATGGTGGTCGGTTGGCGAGAGGTCTAGCTGTCCATCGCTGACCACCGTACATGAATAATGCCGTCGCCTTACACTGGCCTGGCTCGAAAGCCTAACATCTAGGCATCTTCCCTCTTTCCAGCTCCACGGCTGCCATGGAAACCACCTCTTCGAATTAACAGGGAAGAAATCTCAACTTTATTAAACCAAAAGTAATACATATACATTGCTTCACAATTACAATAAACTCAATACAAATTCTTACAATAAACTCAAAATTTTCATTCTGATAATTTAATACACACATCGGAAAAGTCTAGGGATATTTTTAAAAATGGCAATAATTTTTTTTTAGATCGCTATAGGGAAAAAAAGTTGACGGGTGATTATCAAACGAATGTAACTTACAACAAAATTTATTAAATGGTCAAAAATACTGAGTGCGCATATAAGCAAAACTAAAAAAATATGTCTCTTCTTTGGCACCCCGAAAAAAAATCATAATACAAAAAAAATTGGAATCATTACCAAGTATGGCCTCCACGCTGGTTTATTACGGCCCTACATCTATCGTGCATCGACAAAATGAGATTGTCAATGTCTTGTTGAGGTACATTTGCCCATTCAGCGATTAAAAGCTCTCTCAATTGAAACGTTGTGTGAATGTTCCCCATATGCGGAGTAATTCTTCGTTGAAGCATGTCCCACACATGCTCGATGGGATTCAGGTCCGGTGATTGTGCTGGCCATGGCAATACATCAAATCCTTCGTTGGTGAGCCAGTCAGTCACTAGACGCGCGACATGTGGACGAGCATTATCGTGCATTAGGTGGAAGTTTTCACCAACAGCACCAGCAAACGGACGGACGATAGGTAGAAGAATGGTGTCGAGGTACTGTCGAGCTGTGAGGGAGCGATTTGGAAAAACGAGATCGGTTCTGCCGCCGATCATGATTCCGCCCCATAGCATGTACCACCTCTGTATGTGTGGACTTCCTGGATGTGTCTCAAACGTTCATTATTTCCAGGTCGTCTCCACAGTCTTACTCGACGAGAATCTGGATGAAATCCAAATCTGGATTCGTCTGTAAACAATCATTTGCATCCCAGTTTTGTTGTTCTTGACACCACTCTAATCTTCTACCGCGATTGCCTCTCGACAAAGGTGGACATCTAAGTGGCCTTCTGTTGTGGAGATCTGCTTCATGCAGTCGATTTCTGACAGTATCACGACCAATGGTAAGTGATGGCGTTCCATATTAAAGCACAATATTTCCAGTTTAATTGATGAGCAAGAACTGCATAGAATGTACAAACTCGACACTTTCAGATTATTAATTTCAGCCGAAAACCTACAGTTTGTAAAAAACTTGATAAAAGATTAGTTACCGTTTTTGCAGGCTTTGTTCAACCCATAGAAATCTACAGGGTGGTCGAGTGTACCAATTTAATCGAAATCAAACGACCTCATGCATTTATTTTTATGTTATTTAGTATGTTATAAAAATATCCCTAGACTTTTTCGATGTATGTACATTAATATATGATATGGCCAGAAAAGACAGATAATTTAGTTCCACAAGTCATTTGTTTTCTTTTATGCCTTTCAGCTCGGTTTGGGAAGATCGTCGCCTCTCCATTGTATCCATAAGCTAGCCGTCAGAGTAAGCTTGCAGCCTGAAATTCATCTATTCCATTCATCTCGTACCACGCCCTCTGCCCATTCGTTCGCGATACGTACCCATTCACTATTTCTCCCGCGTCTATCTCTCAATTGCATTCTACACTTTTCCTGTTCCATTCTTTTTTCCATTCTCTCCACCCAATCTTTTCTCCATGCGAACATCTCTCAAGCTCGTGATCTACCGTTTCATGTTCCCCCCACCCACATGGGCAAGGCACTTCCGGTCCCAGGTTGAATCTAGCCAGGTAACCCGGTAAGTTGCCATGCCCTGTAAACAGCTGGACGGCCTTTCTCGACAGTGCTTCATATCCGACTGCTCTACAGAACCTGTATATCGCCTTGTCATACCGTAGTCCCATTCTTGCTGCCATTCTTCTTTGATTCGCTCTTTCATCCTTTTTCTCTCTTCATTCTTATCATTAATTCTTTTTACTTTCCAGGTAACACGATCCTTATTAGTACCTTCAGTGGCCTCTTCATGCGCTTTTTTATTGCCAATGTTATTGTTTCGATGTCCTTTACGCCATACTATTTCAGTCCATGCTCCCCTTTCATTCCCCTCTTCAATCATTCTCTGGATTCTCGCTACTCTTTTATTCCTCACTCGCACTGCTTTAATTCTTTCCACCGCTATGGCAGAATCACTGACGATTCTCACTTTTTCATTCATACTCCACGTGCTGACCACTCTCTCTATTGCAATCTCTGTCGCAATATATCTCTTCGTTCCCTAGAACTCACTCGCTCTCGTTCCTTTCATACCCACAGCATATAACCATCCGCCCGTCTTCCATTCTCGCTCCTGCGTCCACATATACTTCTGTCATTCCCTCGTCCTGCTTTTCCTCTAGTAACATCCCTTGCATCCAGGGGAGTACCTTGTCTATTCCTTTCATTCTATCTTCGATCTTACTTTCTCCATACATTCTCCACTCATGGTATCTGACCCCGACTTCTATATGAAGCGGGGTTATACCTGAGATCACGCTGAGCGCGGCCGTCGGCGCCGTTCTGTACGCCCCACATGAGGCAATCAGAAAAGGCCTCTGCGTCGCGCTCAGTTGTGTCCTCACTCTGCTATCATGTATCCTACTCCCCCACACTTGCACTCCATACATAATTGCAGGCTTTGCTACCCTTTCATATATGATTCTAACTCATTCTCTTCTCATTCCTATATTCCGCCCGGTCCATCTCACCGTACAGTCCACATGTTTTTTTTAGTGGGTTTTCGATTTTGAAAAACCTTTGTTGGAATTTATTCAAACAACCCAAAAACAATATGGTGAAGAAAGGTTTTGGCTTTCTACTTGTCTATTTTTATACAAAAAATGTGGGAATCTTCCAAAGAAAAAAAAGCAATCAATTTCAAAAAAGGTAAATTATACCAAGATGTGATCATTCAGAAAATTAACTTCCAGACACAAACTGGAAGAAACAGCCCTCTCGAAACAGCTACTTTCATATAAACATTGAATTACACGAAAGAAAAATACTTCTGGAACAAATACTTTTATATGAATACTGAATTATATAAAAACACTTTTCTCTATTCAGTTTGTATTCCAAACATTCCTGATGGAATCGAATCAGATATCATTCATAGGAGTGCTACACAATATAGTAACTTTCAGACACATATTGTGTCTGAAAGTTATTTCTTTGCATGATCTACATATCTTTGTATAGAGTTAATTTTTTTATATCTATTGCTTCCTTCCTTTCTTTGGAAGATTCCCACATTTTTTGTATCGAGATGGAGAAGTATAAAGCCAAACCTTTCAATTCAAAGAAGATTCCTATGGCTGGGATTCAATCAAATAAGCGAATGAATGTTTGTTTGAAGGTGGTTGACAATGTTTCGTGGTGTATTTCATTAGTTCGGAGTTCCTTCTAATTAATATAAATTGATTGGAAATCCCCGAAAGAATCTGTAAAAAATTAAAAAGAT